ACGGTGCTGCGAACGCCGGCAGTCACCTCGCTAAACTCCTATAACTCTGCCTCCGATCTGCCAAAACCCGCTACCGGGCGAATAAATACCTGCATCTGCACACGAGGTGCAGGGAGTAAAGTGAGTACTCCAACTCAGTGAGTAATAAAGGTAAATAACAACTGAGCAGTAAGAAATCACGTAAAGCAAACCATCATGCTGTATAGAAGCAGTGTAAGACCTTCTAAGAAAAACAATGAAGCTGTGAAATTCTTTGGAACAACTTAGCTCAGTTTAAACCTCTTTTGAAAATGACTCTTTCAACAGTTACGCAAATGAATGCTAAAAACAGTTAGTGCCGATAAGCATAGAAAATCCGCCCCTCGGGCACAAATATCACAGTATAACAGGTAAAATGACAAGTAAATATGAAAGATGAACACATAAAGGTTCGCCCCTCGGGCAATATCTCAAAACAGTACCAGCCCCTCGGGCTCACTCTCAGAACACTCTCAGCCCCTCGGGCTCTCTCTCTCTCTCTCTCTCAGATCACTCTTAGAATAGTATCATATAATAACCGTTGCGGCGTGCAACCCGATCAATATATCGTCGACGGCGCTCACTGGGGGTGTGCAGACTCCGGGAGGGGCCCCTTACGGCCCAAGCCCAATATCAAGCCACCTCGTGGCATCATCTCTCAGCACTCGACCTCACATCACTCAAGCCACCTCGTGGCATATAAATGTATCTCAGGCCCTCGGCCTCACATCACTCAGCATGACCTCACATATCGCCCTCGGCCTCACTCAGTCCGAAAATCATCACAAGCCCCTCAGGCATTAGTAAAACAGTAATTTTCAGCCCAAAACATCATTTAGAAATATCATTTAAGTTTCAAATCTGAGTAAAAGTGGCTGAGTTGTAAAAAGAAAACAGTAGATATCAACAGGACTGAGTTCAAGTAATAATTCAAAACAGTGAGGCTAGTGATAAACATCCCCGAAGGGTTCAAATAGTTGGCACGAAGCCCAAATATGGCAATCAGCCCAAATCATGATGATAATAAATAAGTTTCAGTCAAATACGCGGTAAAATCATCAATCGGGACGGACCAAGTCACAATCCCCAACGGTGCTCTACCCCACGCTCGCTATCAGGTGTGCAAGTCACCTCAATATGGCACAACAATGTGCAATCCGGGGTATCAAACCCTCAGAATATCATTTACAATCATTACTCACCTAGAACCGGCGAAATCTCTAGCTCGCGACGCCTTTGCCCCTCAAATCGGCCTCCACGCGCGTCGAATCTATCCAAAATCAGAACGAATACATCACAATATGCTAAGGGAACAAAGCCCAGGCGAAAACAATCAATAACTGGCACAAATCCCGAAATTACCAAAACCCGAGCCCCGGGCCCACTTCTCGAAACTCAGAAATTTTCACATCAACGGGTTCCTTATCTCCTCACCAGTTCATACATACCAAAAGTTCTCAAATCCGACCCCAATTGGTCCTTCAAATCCCAAATCAAATTTCAAAATTCCAAGCCCTAGTTTCTTCCATTTTTAGCTTAAGTTCCATGAATTTCTAGGTTAATTTCACATTAAAATCACGTTTTAGGTTCAAAAATCTTACCTCCAATCAATTCTCCTTGAATCCCTCTTTAATCACCTTCAAAAAGCTCTCAAAATGCTCCGCTATGGAGGAAAAATGACTCAAAATCTCGGATGAAATGTTTTATAAACTTTCTGCCCAATTCTGAACTTCCTTCATCGCATTCGCGACCACAGCCTCGCGAACGCGAAGCACATCTTTTAATTTCCCAAAATCAACCCTATGCGAACACGACCTATACCATACGAACGCGAAGAACAACCGCTCCTGGACCTAAATCCTTATATGCGAACGCGAATGACCTCCTGCGAACGCGAAGCATCAGCTCCCAGCCTTTCATGAACGCGAGCCCTCGAACGCGAACGCGAAGGCTAAACTCTGGCCATCCCAAGATCCTTCTACGCGAACGCGACATACCCCTCGCGAACGCGAAGGGTTAATTTCTGCAACACCTGAACTCCCAAAATCTGCAACTTTTAAACTTCAAAAATGGTCCGATTGACCATCCGAAACTCACCCGAGGCCACCGGGACCTCAACCAAAAGCACCAACACATCCTTAAACCTCATTCAAACTTGTTCCAATCATCAAATCACCTCAAACAACATCAAATTCACCAATTCACATCGAATTCAAGCCTAAGTTTTCTAAAAACTTCCGAAACACGCTTTTGATCAAAAACCCAACCAAACCACGTCCGAATGACCTGAAATTTTTCACACATATCATAAACGACACAACGAAGCTACAGAAACTCTCGGAATTCCATTCCGACCCTCGGATCAAAATCTCACCTATCAACCGGATATCTCCAAAATACTAACTTCGCAAATTCAAACCTAATTCTTCACCGGACCTCCAAAACCAATTCCGATCACACTCTTAAGTCATAAATCACCTAACAAAGCTAACCAAACCATAAGAACTCCGGTCCGAGCTCATATACAAATAAGTCAACTCTTGGTCAAACCTTCCAAATTCAAAGCTTTCAACTGAGACTGTTCTTTCAAATTCATACCGATTTCCGTGAAAACCCAAACCAACGATCTACATCAGTCATAACACATTACACGGGGCAAGTCATGCCCGAGAACTGACGATCAAAGTGCAAAAGCTCAAAACGACCGGTCGGGTCGTTATAAAAAAGCGAGACATTGGTGCAATTAGTGAGAGTGAGGTGACTAGCAGATTAGCAAGAAGAAAAGGTCCACCAACTGCAAATGAGAGAACAGAACTCCGGAAGAAGAAGAAGAAGAAGAATTAGTTTCCCTAATATGTAGTAAAATCGTAGTTAAAATGTGTAGGTGTAGTGGGTTTGTAGTAAAGTTGTAGACAATATGTTACCTTAGAACAAGTTAGTTGAAACATATTTGTAGCAGATTTGTGCTTTTATCTTTAGTTTTGTTATTTTTGTCCATGAAATTACTACTTTAAATCAAAAACACTATGGAGATCCTTTTTTGGTTCAAAATTGTTAGTATTTTACTCTACTACTTTTGTTTTTTGTTGTTACCCTTTGTTTTCATTATTTATTTTTACCAGTTGTGAACGAGATAACACAAGTCCGGAAGAAGATGAATTAGTTGCCATTTTCTGCAGGGAAAATATTGTAGTTAAATTGTTTAGTTACAGTTGATTTTGTAGAAAGGTTGTAGATAAATTGTTACTTATGAGCAAGTTTGTTGATGTTTAATTGTTAGCAGATTTGTGCTACAATTATTTTACCCTATGATTTGTTATTTTATCCAGGATACTAGTGCTAACAATAGGAAATATTCTGTTGTTTTTATCTTGATTGATTGAAAGTTATTAGTACTTGATCTCATTAATGTTAGCATAAAACTTCTTTAAAACTTAATTATTATGTAGTTATTCTGTCAAACGCAAGATTATGTAGTTATTTTGTAGATTTTTTGTAGATAACTTGTAAGAATCATTGTTCACTAATGATTTGTGATATAGATAATTAAGTAATTGTGTGCTATAGATATAAATCATTCGTAATCCAATCAAGTTATGAAAGTCTGAACTCAATACACTCAGTAATTAAACAAAACAAATTCAAACCAACTACATTAAGAGTTGAAATCATTTCATTATAGGAAACAGTCTTTACTCAATATATCAACACAACTACACCTCAACTATAATTCTCCTGAACACCTCAACACTTTTTATCAAAAAATCTATTGACTATATCAAATTTTATTTCTTCTTGGTAGCATTCTTGCAAGACCTTTTGTTATGCCCTTCTATTCCACAGTTGCCACATGAAACCTTGTACTTCTTTGCATTTACTTCATCATGTATTTTGTATCTTTATTTTTGAGGTCTTCCTGGCTATCTTTTCCCGGTAGGTGGATTTACAACTTCTTCAGCTATATGTTGTGGCACATTCCATTTGCTTTCATCAGGCAGCGGGTCTACTGGTATTTCATAAGTATGCAAGAGGCTCTCCCTCGTGTAATAAGGAGAACAATATTTTTCATAAGACTCATCCCTATGCCTTAAAGCAGCCAAAGCATGTGGACAAGGAAGTACATCAAGCTGGAATTCTCCACAACTACATCTCTTGTTTTCAAGACAAACAATATAGCGCCTCACACCATCCAGCACTGTATGGATGTAATTTGTTGAAGCCCTCACCTACAATTACATTACAATCACACAACAAATTATCAGCAACATATACAAAATAACTACAATTATTCAACAATTTATCTACAATATCTGTTAATATTTTAGTTTGATGCAATAATTGATCAGATGTTATTGGATATAGCTTACTTGAAGCTTCTGCGACAATGTTCTGTTGTCCTCCAACTCTTTGCTGAATTTAAATCCAAGGTATGTGAATGTACCCTTTGCTTTCAGTAACTTTTCATTAGTCCATCGTTCAAGAAGAGTCCTCATGTACTATAATAGTTCTACTATCGGCAACTCTCTTGCATCTTTTGTTACCGCATTCAATGACTCTACAATGTTTGATGTCATAGTCCAAGTTCTATTCACCGTAGCATGTACTCGAGACCATCTGTGATAGCCAATATCGTATAAGTATGCTTTAACATGCGTGTCGATCTCTTCAATCTTTGACATTCTTTCATTAAATTCATCAGCGTGTATGATCGTGTGTCACGACCCTAAATACCCCGGTCGTGATGACGCCTATCACAATACTAGGCAAGCCAACCCAAACAATTAACCACAGCAAATTCCTTTTAATAAACCATTTTGCTAATACTGATTAAGCTTCAAATTGCAAAAGAAATATTTAAATCACTGAAATATGCGGAAAGATAGTATAACAACAAACTAAACACAACCCAACCATCTGGTGTCACAAGTCTTGAGCCTATAAATACAACCAGTCCGACTGTCTAATACATGATAAGTCTAAAAATGCGGAAAAACAAGGATAAGAAGGAGGAAAGTAGGGTTGCGGATGCCGTGCAGCTACCTTGCAGTCTCCGATAAGCTCTGAAAATGCCGGGAACCCTCACTTTGCCGCTCGGGCACCTGAATCTGCACACAAGGTGCAGGGAGTAACGTGAGTACGCCAACTCAGTAAGTAACTAAAGTAAATAAGGTCCGAGTGCAGTGACGAGCAGTTAAAAATAATATATAAGAGTATACAACAAAATATCAAGTCAAACTCAACAGTTTAAAAGCCAGTTACTTCGTAAAACTTCAGTTTAAATTGAAATACTT